CCATCAAAGTATAATTAGTCCTAAAAAGGCATAATTAAATGATGATTCACAAAATAACCCTTTAATTGAACCCTTAAGCCCTACATTTCACTCCCAAAAATCTCGGTTTCAATCCAGCCCACAAAAAGCATCCCAAACATCTCAAATGTTCGTTTTTCACACTTTTTCTCACACCCGGTTGAATACCTATTTGACCCATTTTTCATAGCCCTTTAATTATGCATAACCCACTTAATTAGACTCATACAAAGTCCCTTTTGAAATTTAAATAAAACAACCCACACACACACACATGCTTAAAATTAATCTCACACACACTAAAATGAACACACACACCCTTATAACTTTCTCTTGCTTCCTTCTTCTTTCCCAATCTTCTTCTTGCCCTCTGTCACTCTCGATTTGGCATGAAGGTTTCCCCCAAGTTCCTCCCTTTTGCTTCTTCCTTCTCCCTCTCGGTTTGAACAAGAAACACCCACCAAAGCTTGGTTTCTCTCTCCTTCTCTCCTTCCTTGCTCATGGCTCAAGAGACACGCACACACATATATTTTCTTATCTCTCTCTTGCTCTCCCTCACTCACGATTTTAGTAAAAAAAAATAGGCACACATACTGATTCATGTTTTAAACACACAAATTACTACACCTTAAATTACACACACACACACACACATCCACCTAGCTTTTAATTTGACTCACCCACCTCATGTTTCTACACATGTAAGCATGACTCATTCTAATTGGGTAATTACTCCTGCCTCCCCCTAAGTTCTTAAGTGATTTCAAAATCGATCCACTACTGTGTTCACACATGAAATTCCTATTAATATGTCTCACTAATACATCACTCACACGGTCCACCCTACCCGTTGTATGCTCACACACATCATGGAGATGAAGGGTTTACTTTAATTAAACCTTTAATAGTTTCACATAATTGTAATTTAGCCCACATAGTTATGCTAATATGCATGCAATGCATGTTCGGGTCTCACAACTCTCCCCCATTAATAAAAATTTCGTCTCCAAAATTACTTACCTGCACTAAACAAATGAGGATATTGAGCCCACATACTTTCCTCAGGTTGCTTCCTTTACTTAGTGACTATGCCACAAAACTTTTACCAACGGTATCGTCTTCGTGCATAATACTTTCTTCTTCCTACCAAAAATTTGAACCGGCTACTCTACGCAAGTCAAATCCTCGGCTAACTCCATTGGTTTTGAAGTCAACACATGTGATGGGTCAGACAAGTATTTTCGTAGCATAGAAACATGGAATACATCATGCAACCTGAACAACTCCACTGGTAACTCCAACTGGTATGCAACCGCTCCACAATGCTGTACAGACCAATATACTTGGGAGCCCACTTTCCTTTCCTACCAAATCGAATGATCCCTTTCCAAGGTGATATCCATAGGAATATTCTATCACCTATCTCAAGTTTCAAGTCACTTCGGCAATTGTCAGCATAACTTTTCTACTTGCTATGTGCACTCTGTAATCTCTCTTGAATGACTTTAATCTGATCAACAGTCATATGCACAAATTCTGGACCCAATAACTTCTTTTCACTCACTTCACTCCAGCACACTGGGGTCCTATACTTTCTCCCATACAAAGCTTCATATGGTGTCATCTCAATTGAACTCTAGTAGTTGTTATTATAAGTAAACTCAATTAAAGGCAAATAATCATCCCAGTTACCTCTAAGGTCCAGAACACAAGCTCTCAGCATGTCTTCCAATGTCTTAATAATGTGCTCTATTTGTCCATCTGTTTGTGGGTGGAATGCTATACTAAACTTTAAAATAGTGCCCAATGCAATCTGTACTCTAGGCCAAAACCTCGAAGTAAAACGTGGATCCCTATCAGAGGTAATAGATATAGGTACACCGTGTAGTCTAATAATCTCATCAATGTACAATCTAGCTAATCTGTCAAAAGAATATGATATCTTAACAACCTGAAAAATGAGCAGACTTGGTCAATCTGTCAACTATCACCCAAATGGCCTCATGTCCTTTCTGTGTACGGGGCAAACTACTCCCAAAATCCATAATGATATACTCCCACTTTCATTCTAAAAATCGTTAGAGACTATAATAACCCTGTTGGTCTCTGATTCTCAGCCTTCACCTGCTAACATACCAAACATCGTGTCACAAACTCAACTATCTCCCGTTTCATCTCAGGCCACCAATAATGCTCTCTTAGGCCACGATACAATTTTTTATTACTTGGATGCATAGCGTATGTTGAACTGTGTGTTTCCTCCAGAATCTCTCTCCATAACCCTACATCGTTAGATAGACATAACTGAGAACCAAATAACATAACATCAACAGTGTCAACAATAAAATTAGTCTTTAGCCCAATCTTTACTTTTTCCTTCAATTTCTCAATTTGGAGATCAAACTACTGTGCCTCTCTAATACTGTCCACCAGAATTGTTCTCAAAGTCAATGTAGCAAGTAAAGCTGCATTCTCTCTTATCTCCAATTACACTCTCAAAGATTTCAAATCCAAAACTAAACCTTTCTGAATCACTCGCAAACTAGCTAATCTACCTAATGATTTTCGGCTCAAACCATCTGCCACAACATTTATTTTCCTGGCTGGTAATGAATAGTGCAATCATAATCCTTAATAAGCTTAATCCAACGCCACTGCATCAAGTTCAACTCTTTCTGGATAAACAGATATTTCAAACTTTGGTGATTGTATAAATCTCACATGTAACCCCATATAGAAAATGTCTCTACAATCTTAGTACAAATACAATAGCTGCAAGCTCCAAATCATGGGTAGGATAATTGTACTCATGTGGTTTCAATTGTCTAGAGGCATAAGCTACCAATCTACCGTGCTGCATCAACACACAACCCAAATCCTAATGTGATGCATCACTATAAACCATGAATCCATCACTACCTCACGGAAATGATCAATATTGGTGGAGTCGTCAACCTAGTCTTTAGCTTCTGAAAACTCTGTTCACATCTATCCGATCACTCAACTTCACACCCTTCCGAGTCAATCGGGTTAGAGGCACAACTATAATGGAGAAAAAATTCAACCCACTACTATTTTCAACCCTTCCGAAATTGACCCACTACTATTTTTTAGTCATGAAATTCCTATAAATGGGTCTCACTAATACATCACTCACACGGTCCACCTACCCGTTGTATGCTCACACACATCATGACTATGAAGGGTTTACTTTAGTTGACCTTTTAATAGTTTTACATAATTATAATTTAGCCCACATAGTTATGCTAATATGCATGCAATACATGTTCGGGTCTCAAAACTTCTATTTTAAACTTATAAATTAATTCTTATCTATTCCCGTTTACAGTGAAACCATGATTTTTTTAAATTTAATTATCCTTTATTATTTTTACAATCAATTTCAATTTAACTTCAATTTGAATATTTGTAAAATTCAAGTATAGTTAAGTTTAAGTAAGAATATATACTTTATCCTCGACAATTAAATTCAGCTCAATTTTAATTCTAATCATAAAAACTTCAAACTGATAATTGAGTAAAATGACAGGATTCTTGTAATTTTGTGTGAGAAAAACTCAAGACAAATAATGTTTCCCTTATTATCTAGATAGATCAGAAATTACATGCATATTTTTCTCTTATTATACCATTCGAATAAAATAATATTTTTATTTTAACATAAAAAATGAGCTATATTATAGTCATTTGACTCGTTTTTATGGAAAGAATTTTTATTTAAGATCTATTTGTTTATTTAAATTTTTTAAAATAATCCTTAATTATATAGAATTATAATTAATGACCTAATTAATGTGTTATTGATTAATTTTTATACTAATTATCATAGTATGTGAGAGAGAGAAAGAGTCGAATGAGAGAGACGTGTGAGCTACAGATAATATGGGATAGAGAGATATAGAGTTATAAGAGAGATAATAGTCTTAAAATTTTAAAAGAAATAAAAGTCTTGATTAAAAAATTTTGGGAGAAAATTTTGCATTAGGATCGTCGAATCAATAATCTTCTTAAGTGATCAGAGCCGCGAAAAGTTCAAGACAAATAATCTACCTATTTTATTATATAAATATTGATTAAACATTGGTTGGAAATAAAAATCTAAAATATAAAACATGACAAACTTCAATAAACTCATTCGACGGTCTTATATAGATTCATCTAAAGGTCACTAACATGCCTCTCAAAATCATTCACATTATATCGTTCCTTTAAGTATGATTTACCTTTAGTAATATATAAAAGAAAAAATTATACAATTTTTTCAAGACATAAAAAGGTATTATTATAAAGAAACGGGTCCATTTTAGTCTAGGTGCCATAAAAAATATATTTTGACTTTATTAATTTTTTGTCTAAAAGCTTTTCTTTTAAATTTTCAGGGAGCTAGACATGAAATTGAATTTTATTGAACATGGATACAAAAGTTTTTTGTGATCCCTTAAAAAAAAAATTGGACTTAATTAGACACGAGTTTATAAATTTTATTAGGGACTAAAAATAAAATTAAAATTAATTGAACATGGATCTAAATTTTATTTGGGGCATTAAAAAAATTGGTCTTAAATTAATCTGAGTCTAATAATTTCATTTAGGGCCCTTAAGTAAAATTTTAAATTTTTATTTGGAGTTCTAAAAATAAAATTAAATTAAATTATAACTGAAAATAAAATTAAACATTAATCTAAAACTTTTTGTATGGTGAATTTTACTAATTAATACGTTTAATTGACGCCAGCATAGGGGTGGCTTTCTATTATCAGATCAATAATCCATCTTTTGGTAAAATGGTCCCAAATTACAGAAACATCCCCCAGTTCAACTTCTTGTCCTCGGAGGAAAGACCGATCACACAGTACCCTTTTTCCAGTCATGGCCTCATCATCCTAGAGAGAAAACCAAACAAAATCCTCTACATACAAATCTACAGAGAAAACAAAACAAAAAAAAAAAATTCACGATCAATGGCGGGTCCTTCACTGATGGACTCACTCTTCCAGCGGTCCTTAGACGACCTGATCAAGGGCCTTCGCCTCCACCAACCCACCTCCGAATCCACCTTCATCTCCAAATCCCTCGACGAGATCCGCCGCGAGATCAAGTCAACAGACCCACAAACTAAATCCACTGCCCTCCAAAAGCTCAACTACCTTCACTCCCTCCACGGCCTCGACATGTCCTGGGCCGCCTTCCATGCCATCGAGGTGATTTCTTCGCAAAATTTTCAACAGAAGAAAGTTGGGTATCTCGCCGCTTCTCTCTCTTTCCACTCTTCGACTGATGTCATCCTCCTCCTCACCAATCAGCTTCGCAAGGACCTCTCCTCCAACAATGTTTTCGAGGTAAGTCTTGCCCTCGAGTGCCTTTCGATGATATGTACAGTTGATCTTGCGCGCGATTTAACTCCTGAGATATTCACTTTGTTGGGTAGTACTAAGAGTTTCATTAAAAAGAAAGCTATTGCAACTGTATTGAGAATATTCGAGAAATACCCAGATGCAGTTAGGGTCTGTTTTAAGAGATTAATTGAGAATTTAGAGAGTAATGATGTGGGTATAGTGTCTGCTGTTATGGGTGTGTTCTGTGAGCTTGCTTTGAAAGAACCCAAATCGTATTTGCCCTTGGCGCCAGAGTTTTATAGGATTCTGGTGGATTCTAGGAATAATTGGGTGTTAATTAAAGTTCTTAAGGTGTTTTCAAAGTTGGCTATATTGGAGCCGAGGTTGGCAAAGAGGGTGGTGGAGCCGATTTGTGAGCATATGCGGAGGAGTGGAGCAAAGAGTTTGGTGTTTGAGTGTGTGAGAACTATTTTAAGTAGTTTGAGTGAGTATGAATCAGCGTTGAAGCTTGCAGTCGAAAAGGTTAGGGAGTTTTTGGTGGATGATGATCCGAATCTTAAGTATCTTGGACTGCAAGCGCTTTCGGTTGTTTCACTGAAGCATTTGTGGGCAGTGTTGGAGAATAAGGACCTTGTGATCAAGTCTTTAAGTGATGATGATCCAAATATCAAGCTTGAGGCTTTGCAGCTTGTGATGGCAATGGTATCTGAGGATAATGTGCATGAAATATGCAAGGTTTTGATTAGCTATGCTCTTAAATCTGAACCAGCATTTTGCAATGAGATTCTTGGATCGATACTATCAACTTGTTGTAGAAATGTCTATGAAATTATCATTGATTTTGATTGGTATGTGTCACTTCTTGGGGAAATTTCGAGGATTCCACATTGTCAAAATGGGGAAGAAATTGAGAAGCAGCTTATAGATATTGGTATGAGGGTCAAGGATGTTAGATCGGAGCTTGTTCGTGTTGGCCGAGAATTACTGATTGATCCTGCATTGCTTGGTAATCCTGTCATACATAGGATATTATCTGCTGCTGCTTGGGTGTCGGGGGAGTATGTTGAGCTCTCAAAGAATCCGTTTGAGCTTATGGAGGCACTGCTACAACCACGCACCATTCTCTTGCCACCATCAATAAGAGCTATATATGTTCAATCCGCATTCAAAGTGTTGATCTTCTGTCTGTATTCTTATCTCTTTCCAGATGAAGCTGTTGCTTCGTCGCCCTCACTTCCTGTTGATTTGGATCCTGGAGTGACAAGTTCCATATCTCCAAAAGAATTCTCTGAAAGTTCTGATGTTGTAGTAACTGAACCTCTTGCTGATCGTGAAATGGATGAGGGGTTCAATCCAAGAGATATAAGTCAATCACTTGAAGATGTTTCTGTCGGAAATGGTGGAGATACGGTTATTGCTCATGAGCAGACCTCATGTTCAGCTACCTTAAAGAAGGATTATTTTACACAAGAATCCATTGTTAAACTGTTGGATCTTGTTGAAAGAACTTTGTGCCCATTAATGGGAACCCATGAGGTGGAAATACAAGAGAGGGTGGGGAACATTCGTGGTTTAACTGAGTTGATAAAGCAGGAACTACCTGAATTTTTAGTCCATAAGGAAAGGAATGTTGAGGGGGTAAAAGTGAAAGCTTTGGAGATTGTAAAACTGATGCATGATGCCTTTTTGGAAGAGCTTGGTCCAGTTTCTACGAGTGCTCAGGAAAGAGTACCTATACCAGAGGGATTAATGCTTATGGAGAATCTTGGTGACTTGGAAGGAATATGTGGTGATATACAGTTACCTATACCAAGCCAATTTTGCTTCGGGATGCCTCATTCTGGGGGCAGAGAGAGTACTTCCCTCTTTAATCAACAGACGGATGAAGAATCTGAAACTTCATATGAATGTACATCTCTGCTTGCTGAACATCGCAAGCGGCATGGGTTATATTATCTTCCTTCAGAGAAATTGGAAACTATATCCAATGCTTGCCCACCTGCTAAGGACCCTCAGCAAAGTGATGATCTTAATGATGATGGTCAAGATCTTGTTAAGCTTACAGAGCAGTCACTGGTCCCAAAGAAAAAGCCAAACCGAGCAAAGCCTAGGCCTGTGGTGGTAAAATTAGATGAGGTAGACGGAATAACTATTGCAGTCAGTAAGCCAGAGTCAAAAGATTATTTGATTTCTGGTGCTGTGCGAGAAGTTCTTTTAGGTAATGAAGTCTCTTCAGCCCAACACAAGCTGCCTGATAAGTCATCAAACAAGAGAAGAGAGAAAGACAAGTTAGATATTGATCAACCTTCTGACACAAAAGAAAATTTGGCTAATGTGGGAAAATCTGAGACTTCAACTTCGAAAAAGAGCAAGCACCATATTCCTGGTAAAGAGAGAAAACATAAAAGTTCAAGGAAGAATGCTGATGAAAGAGAAGATGTTCAAAAAGACAAGACAAAGAGTGGTCACCACAACCCAAGGCACAAAGCTCGGCAAAGAGCAGATGACAATGTGGATGTAATAGCACAAACACCAGTAATCCCTGATTTTCTTTTGTAACATTAGAGTCTGGGAATCATCATCTGTCAGCAGTTGCAGAAATCTTGAGTACTTTTATTGTCTCGCCCCTAGTACATTTTACGTCGAACAGCAAGGTCAGTTCTTCTGCTGTAAACTATACATTTTGATTTGGTTTGTTGTCAGTATTTGTTTTCCCCCTTTGGGATAGGAACTGTGGGTTGTTTTCTGGGATTGGTCTTTTAATGTTATAGAGGGTGAAATTCATTCAACTGTAATAATTCCATTATGTGAATTTATATCTCCCTTTCTAGTAAATTAAGGCTATTTTACATAGCCATTGATATATATTTCTTTGTTTTTTCTTATTGTGGTTTGAGTTTGCTACTATATATTGTATAGTTTTCATTTTGATGACAAGTCACACTGTGATGAGGAGTCCAAAATCTGGATTTGTGCTGTCATGTTTGCCGCATAACAATGAGTTATGGACTGATATGAATAACGCATACAACTAGATAAGTTATATTTATTACATTTTGTAACGCCCCGGTTTCCTAAATGCGATCCTTAATAGATCGACAACAATAAACCATAAATATATCTCCACATATAGGGCCAGAGCTCTAATTACCTCAATAAAAATTACAATCACAAATTTGATTTCCAAAGACCAATAAAACTTATAGTTTTAATTTAAAAAAATTCTATCAAGATTCGTCTATCTCCAATTACTCAAATATCGACTCTGTAATTTTCTTCCAGATCATCGTGAAAAATATCAAAAACGATAAATATACAATATGACAGGAAACAATATGCTCAATGATACTCAGATGATAGGAATTATGAACAACGGAATCATCATTCAAATTGGACATGCCACATAGCTTAATTGCTATCAAATAGTCACATACTTGGTTTATCTTGGTAATATGACAAGTGACACATGAGCATATATATCTATACTCATATCCAACTACAATCACATTTCACAACATATGTCTCAACCACACTTCGTACATATACCAATTAATCTCAAAGTATTTAGCCCAAAGTATTGGTAAGATCAACAAAACTTGCAGAATTTCATGTAAGCAGAAAATTATTAATTGGAGTACAAATTTTGAATAATCAAAATAACAATCTTTGCAAAGAAATTTAAAAGAAATGAGCATATTGTATACTATCCCGTACTTCAAAATCATCAATCGATACTATAAATTTGGTCACCGCCGTCTTAAGAGAAACACAAATGAATTCATAGTATTCAAAACTAGAGTCACCATCTAAGTTTGAACCCAAAGCCTTGTCATCTTTTTTTTCCTCACTCTCTTTCTCTTTCTTCCTTCTCTTGGGGGCCTTTTATAGGCTTAGTATGGGTGGGCTCCAAGCACATTACATCACTTGGCTTGTGTCACTTGGGTGATGTTGTAATGCCCCAAAAACCCCCGTGGGTGACATTACATTCTAAAAACCATTTACCGTATGAGAGCATTAAGTAAAATTCATCACGACGAAAGTTTCATTCATCAACCATTCATATTTTAACAAAATTTGGGCAGAGTCTCCTTTGTACGGGGAGCTCTACCCAAAACACAACCTGTACAATTATATTACAATTGACCACACCGGGTCCACATATGCATAACTATTGACCACACCGGGTCCATTTTTCCATCATAAAATAAACTTGCATTCATCATATGTCATATCCACACTATCATCCCAAATTAATAGGTCTAATCTTGGCCTTTACATCTCCAAAATGTAATAATATAACGCAGCGGACATAGTTATCAAATCGTGTATCGGAAGGCGTATCGTAAGATACAAATATTGTATCGTATCGTGTATCGTAAGATACGATGCAATTTTAAATAAATAATAAAAAAATATATATACCTTTGAAAAAAGTCATACACTCATAAAAAATATAGCATTTCATTAATACTCCACCAACTATTCAAGTTATCAACATAATCCACTACTATTATAATGCAAAGTTCACAACCATAGTTCACTAATTCAAACTTTAAACACCAAAGAGACTTCTAATCCAAATTTCTAACATCCATTTTGAACTCAATCTTCAATTTCAATTGAAAATGCATCATCATCATCATCATTGTGATCGGATGCCAACAAGTCTTCACTTGTCGTTTTTTTAAAAAAAAAATCAGAGCACAAAACGACGTCGTTTTTAAAAAAAAAAAAAAAAAAAAAAAAAAAATTGGACGTATCGTGCGTATCGTACCGATACGTATCGTATCGTAAAAACGTATCGTGTATCGGACGATACAACGCAAAAACGATACATAACTACGATCCGTATCGTTTTAGGGCTGTATCGTAACGTATCGTACGATACGTATCGCGTATCGTACGATACTAACAACTTTGGCAGCGGAAATAACAGAAATGAACTAGAGTTCAAAAGGATATTCTAAGCATAATCTAGTCTAGAACAAAATAAAAGTGTCGCTCCAAGCGTCCACCTCGGGATCCACATCCCCGTCAAGCGGAGTCTTCCAATGGGTGGGCTCCTCGGCTCCTAACTCCTCCTCAAGTGTGAAATCTGAAAAATTTTTATTTATAAGGGGTGAGCACGAAACTCTGTAGCAAAATCCTCTCAACTCAAACAAGGTTTGAAAAACATAGCAAACGGTCGGTCTCATTTCACAACTAACATATATATAGGTTTGGAATGAAATCAGTGACATTTTAAAAGAGATCTCAAGTTTAAACAATAGCAATAATCAGTTAAAAGAATAAAGTGAGTTTAGCATCGATAAACAAAATTCTAATTTAAGCTATTTAAGAAGGGCTTCTCCCTAAGCATTGTCCCATACCAATGCATCGGCAAGAACGACCCAACTCCCGATTCCATGTATTTTTGGTTCATCCCCGTACCATGTATGTTGATTGCTTCTCGTGAATCTACCTAACGATCATGCCTAGTCCACCAATTCCAACCAACAATCACAAATCTCTTTAGGAAGGGCGTGTACCGTCTCCTACGGCATTGACGAAATCCTCCCAAGGTGTCTAGTATACTAACCCTTTTCCTCGGTGTATATGTGAACAATAGTGATCGCGAGCACAACAACGATCCACTACGAGCATTAGGTAACCATCTCACCCCCCATTGGGATAGACTAACCTCTAACACTCTACGACATCTCTCGAAGGTAATCCAAGTCCATCACAACAACCATACAATGAGGAAATCAAGAATATTCACAATTCACAACAATTTCCCAAATATAGTAAAATCCCCAATTTTGTTTTCACATTTGTCATATAATCGAATAATCCAAGAAAATATGCAAGAGATCGTAATCTATATCATTTTGTTATACAATATTCAACACTAAAGTTTTAAAATCAAAGACAAAGAAGAAATTAGGAGAAAATCCTCTTTTCTTGAAAACTAGGGCTTTGAAGATAAAAAAAAAAATCAATAGAGCTTTGGTGGTTACCCACCCTTCATATTGTTCAAAACATGACATTTATTACAAATAGAACAAGAATCATGTATTTCATATTATATATGAGAAGGAGAGTGAAGAAACATATATCTATATACATATATATATCTAGCCTCAATGTGAGAGATTGAGAGAAAATCCCCTACCTTAAATCAAGATTCCAAGCTAAGACCCAAGCTTCAAGACCTTCTTGCTCTCCTTTATTTTCCTCTTAATCTTCTCCTCCTAGGGTTTCAAAAGATTTGGGTGAGAGGGTAGCAAGAATGGAAGAAAATGGGAGGAGAATGTATTCTTGAAGAATTTGAAGTTTTGATTTCTACAAGGTATAAATCCCTCTTGATTGGTATTTCTATCTTCCTCTCTTCCTCTAAAATGGTTCCTAGGGTTTGGAGGGGTGAAATGAATGCTAAAGGGACGACATTAGGTTTTTATAGGGCAAGAAAATCGAGCAAAACCCGATATTTTCTGTTCAGAAAAAAATCGGGTTTCCTTCGTACTGTTCACAGATTTTTGGTGCGACTTCCAGGTCAGTTTTGACCCATTTAGAGGTCGAATTGGAAATTTTTCATGAAATACACTTTTGTAGCCCTATATGTCTACTATTTCCTGTCAAAATTTCAGATCAATTGGACATCAAAATATAAAGTTATGATCAAAATACTAGGCAGTGTCTATCACCCCTTTTTACCCAATTTCACTCCAATTTGGTTTTACTTCTAAAATACTTCCTAACTTCTAATACATCCCATATTACCTCTCCCAATGTTTTCCGACCTCCCGAATTCAATGGTAATGTTATTTTGATAAAAAAATTAATATATTTATTTAGTTACCCTTATCAATCTTAAACACATCCAAAAAAAAATTAAGTTTGACCCAAAAGTCAATCCGTTCGAAACTCAAACTTCATGATTAATATTTCAACAATGATTCTAAGTTTTTATCCTCATTTTATTCATATTTGGAAAACTCTTAAGATATTAGTATTCTTATTTAATTTTAGTACAGGGTCTTACAGATGTATTGGGACACTTGTCCATGCTTGGTTTTGTTGTTTTTTTTACACATGATAGTTGTCCCTTAAATTTAAATTACTTAGAGTTTTGATCCCAAATAAAATTCTTAATTATAATTAGATCTCCATAATATTTCGTTCTTAATTCTTTTCAGGGTCAGATTGTGACACATTTTTTGGATGTATTTGCTTTTTGAAATTGCTACTGGAGGCTTTATGTTCTGTTTCTAAGCATGCCAATTTTATTTGTTCATACACGTTGACGCTCCTCTTTCAACTTTTCAGTACCTAGTTCCATGTTCTTTTCTGCTTATAAAGAGTTGAAGGAAGATCAACTTCTAAAGTAGGAAGTGAAGATACCTAATTTGCCAGCCTGTGTGTGGCAAATTAGTAGATTTGAGGATTTAACAAGAAATTCCTTGCATTCACATCTTGACCTTTTGCAGTAATGAATTTCAATTTAGGTAGGTAGATAGACAAATTGCTTATGCTTTTGAGGTACATTTTGCACCGAAAATTTAGTCCTTTTGAGGTCT